CCCCCTCTCTCTCTCTCTCTATTCAGGCTCCACACAGACCTCTCCACAGGTGTGCATGATGCTAGCAATCCTTGATATAAGGTCAGCTGCCTGCTGTCTGACTTTAGCCGCCTTGTTGTTGAGCCTCCAGAGAATCGTCCCACAAATCTGAGGCAAGTACGGCTTAACCCTCATACCAAGGGAATTGACTACAACACCAAAACCATTCAACATGACTACATCCTATAATAATGAGAGGGGGAGAGAGAGAGAGGAGGATATGCTATCAACAAATGAAGGATATACTGTACTTCATTGGTCTGTTCTTGAAAGGCATAGAGTATTCCATCAATCAGTTGTTCTTCAAGTCTTGAGTCAATGTCAGCAGCTCCTAAATTATTCATAACCTACAGAAAAGGAACAGAAAAAGATAAAAGCTACAACAATCTGCAGTACTATACAATATACACAATATGCTATTTTACTACACTACTGGTCACTGTACAAGTACATCGATACACATGTAGGAACATAAAAAACAATTACAATTGGTTATGATAAGTACAGAGAGACTCCTAATTGAACAGTTGCAATTGAGTGAGCAATAATAACATTTCTACTACAATGTAATGTTAGTGTACCCATACAGGCATACACACCCAAAAACACCAGAAGAAGGAAGCACTAGTAATGAAATAATAATAATAATACATATATATAATAATAATAATAATACATACACATACATACATAGATGTACATATGTACATACAGCTATGCTAACTTCTCTCTCTCTCTCTCTCTCTCAACAGAGACACTCTGTCGCATACTATAAATAAGACACCAGCACATTCATATACATAAATAAACACAATTAACTGTAGCTATACAAACAATAACGACTCAATAAAACACTTTAATCTTTTCTAAGTAGCAGAGCCCATAGTTCAAATTGTACACAGTTCACTAGATGATAATGATGATACATATTATATAATACATTTGTCTACAGTATCATTTCATAGTGACCTGCTAATTAAAAGTAATTCAAGGTATGAAGTAAATATGCATAAATCTGTCAATGAGGCATTCAATATAGTAAGGAGAAGGATTTAGTCCACACAAATTCCAGTTGTATTATTAACACAACAAAACTTGAACAAAGACATAAAAGCAAACGTCTAGACAGTCAGAGAAAGAGAGGGAGAGAGAGGGCGAGGTATGTGAACATGTGTAGTAGTACACAAGTGTAAGATTTCAGACAAGGGGAACCCCTAGAGTGTCTCATTGTATTACCTGAAGCTATTGAGGTTACATCCAAATCACCAGGACTGGCTTTTCACTTTATGTCATTATAATATGCTTATAGGTACACTATACTGACCTTTGCTAAACCTCTCTTTAAGAGGATAATTGTACTTTCAGTTTTAATAAAAAACCACTATATCAGGGAAACCTCAGCAAAAATAAACACAGTTATATGGGATTTTAATTGTCATAGTAATACTACCAGGTCTGTATCTTTCTACATCACTAATATTTCTCTCTTATACCCCTTCTACAAGGCACCAGTATATCACTGCATATAATGAAGAATAAACACATTGACCCATATACTATACATGTACATACACACATACCTTATATAATGCTGAGTAATGGGAAAAGGTATGCGGATACACTACATGTATGAGCATGGCAGGATTACTTATTAATCTAATGAGGTACAAGCGAGTCAAAGAGTGTAACACAATATCCTGGGGTTGTCAATAACAAATTAATCAAATAAAGCCCACTAGAAGAAGATGCATAGCAACTGTGGGCCCTAATCTAATGACATAAACTGACAGTATCTCAGACATAATGCTTCGTGTACGAGTATTAATCTTTAGCTTACAGGAACCTACGGATAAACAAGGCCTTGGGCAAGAGATCGTTATCGGTAGCGACGCCGACCGCAGCTTCTAATGATATTAAGACATGTCCATGACAGCTAGTATAATAAAAGGCAGGCATTAAACAATTAGGACTTGAAATATGCAGCGCAATACATACAAGTTTGTGCATTAGAGTGCTAATTAAAGCTTGTGAATATCTTTTTTTATTTCTGAGTTTGTGCGATGCAAGAAAATGAACATACCAGATACAAGGGTACATTTGATTAAGCAAATTTAATAAAGTACACGTAACATGTGTATTAATGCATGTACATGCATGTATGTGTGGACTGGGTTTAAGATGAAAAATGTGATATACACAAATGCCATTGTGTGTAACACAATACAGTAGAAGTGAACAGATGTCTATAGGGCGAGGGCTATGAATATCATTAGTGAAGGACTGGGGAATAGAGACAAAGTGAAGAGAGACATTCCAATAGAGTAAGCTGGGAGAGAAAGGAATGAGAGTGACCATAACAGCTGGAATATATTGCATTGAAATAGTAACTGCTCATACATCCAGTCAATTCCCTCAACAGATGTTAACAAGGGTTATAGGATTAGCGAGAGAGATAGAGAGAGAGGTAAATGGAAATTTGATCTAAAAATAGATATACATGTAAGTGCTGACAAAGAGTGTATTTGTGTGCGTGCATGAGTGAGTGTTATGATTTATGAAAAACTGTTTGACTACAGATCAATAAACACTAGATGAAAAAACCAAATAAGGAAAATGAGGGAGAGAGAGAGGGGGAGAGGGGGAGAGAGAGAGGGAGAGAGAGAGGAAGAGAGAGAGAGAGAGAGAGAGAGAGAGAGAGAGAGAGAGAGAGAAGAGAGAGAGAGAGAGAGAGAGAGAGAGAGAGAGAGAGAGAGAGAGAGAGAGAGAGAGAGAGAGAGAGAGAGAGAGAGAGAGAGAGAGAGAGAGAGAGAGAGAGAGAGAGAGGGTTTAAGAGAGAGAGAGAGAGAGGGGGGGGGAGAGATAGAGAAAATGAAAGAAAGCATTATTAAATACACATACATGCATACATGTACATTGCACATATAAAGATAACAAAAGACAAAAAGACAAAAGGAACTAAACACAAAAGATCGTAACTATACACACACACACACACACACACACGCTATTATTTGTTAATCAATTATAAAGAGAACTTCACCAAAAAGGACATTAATAATCAGTGGCAATGACAACACACAAAATAGAGTGAGTCCAGGCCTAATATTGTTTTTAAGAAATAATGCACAATGTGTATTGGGTAAGACATGTCTACAAACAGCACAGAGAGGCTTCTGTTGTTGCTGGTATTGAATTGAATGAGTTTCTTAGTGTTATCTTAGTCTGCACTGTATACCCTCAAGTTAGTCCCATTAATCACACAATGGTGAATGAGACATGCATGTACATGTACTACATGAATATCGATATGTACATGCAGTATGTGTGTATGTGTGTGTACGTGGATTAGTTTAATGATTGCATTATGGTCCAGGATGCAAGAGTGCTCAGTATATTATGTAAATGCATGATGAGTCATGAGCATATTAACCTCAGAGTCACATGCACAAACAATGACCAGAAACCAACAGATTTATACACAAAAGCAGGATACATGTGTGTGTGCGTATTTCAGGGTATTTCAGGTATACATTAATGGCTATAGAACTTAAATTTCTGCTTCGAGTTAACTCAAAACTTTCTATGCAGTGTAAAAGTATTAACATGTACATAAAAATTGAGAGGTTTTTTGGGATCATTACCAATAAAGGATCATTAAAGGAATACTTTTTAGTGATCAAGGATTGGCTCAATATTAATATGCACCTGAGAGACAAACATCACGAAAATGAATGGGAACACTTCCAGAGCTAACAATCGATTTTAAATCAATTAAGTTTGGAACAATAACTTATTTACATAGGCATAATACATCTCTTGTTATTACTATTTATTATTATTATTTTCTAAGAAAGAATTGATGCAAGTTGAACAGTACAATAGAGCATCACTTCCCTTGGTTCTTCCTATAATGTCATCTGTTCCTTCCTCCCACACAATCTGTCTAGGCATTCACACAGCATACTGGTGTAGTAGCACTTCAACCAGCTCTAATCATATCATATTATATAGATCATTGATCAGTGTTCTCCTTTGATACACGTATGCACAGACTTAACTTCCTGCCTCTCCATACAATACTACAAATACTCCTCATACATGCGGTCGCTTACAACAAGACAGACAAGTAGCCCCTGGGGCTATCATTAGAAGAAGAATGAAGAATGAGTGTTTGTACATAAAGTGAGTAAGTGACTCTTAGACCACATGAAATATCCATTGATACACCCACTACCATTCAGGATGCATCTTACGCATGAATTACACTATAATGAAGTAACTGACTACTTTCACACATACATCATGTGCATGCACATACATGCATGCACATGAAGGGAGTCGGGAGCTTTTAGTACAGTGGTGTGTGTGTCAGGTGGTTACATGTATATGTACATATGATGTTTTGGATGGCAGACAATAAAACCACACGCGAGTAAATTTATGGTCAAGATCTAGACTAAATATCAATAAAGGGAGGATTTATCCTATAATGTACAATTCATGGAAGAATTGATTTAAATTATAAAGTAATGCGTTACACATAACGATGGTGAGTTCCAGTAAGGGAGTGATACACATGGAAAGGTATGCCAATATTGTGTACAGTACATCCAGTTATGATGGAAGATCATCCACTTATCAATAGCCCATTGGTTCCAATAGGGATTATTATTAGACCTTAGGTCATTTTTAATGCACCATAATAATATTCTTGACTGGGGTACATTTTATTAGCAAAATAAGTTTATTAGTTTATCACACCTGTTTATCAAATCTACATTAATTCTGCTATGCAGTTAGGGGATTAGCATACCACCCCCAGTAACCAGATAGCTATGCTGCTAACAGATGTACATTAATGTGTACATAAATACATGTACTGTACATGCAATACTTGAGAATGTACATGTACATGTACGTACCTCACTGCCACACACGCAATAAAAGCTGTATCAGTAAAGCAGTTTAAAACATGTGCAAAGCCATATAAATACAAAGTGATAAATCTCAATAATAATAATAATTATGCCAAGCTATAAATAGATATAAATTATCAAATGACACGTACAGTACATTAACACATGTACAAAGTCCTTCTACAGACAATTAGTAAGGAATTATTACATCCCATGTACATATTGTACTGTAAAGGGTAGGCTAATGAGTTTTTACCTTTTCAAGGCAATCCATGACCATCTTACGAAACGGCTCGTTGTCGTCCTTTAGATCGTCAGCAATCCGACTGACAATTTCTGCCCCTCCCACTTTATTAGCAATCTCCACAGTAGTATCTACCAACTATAAAATTAAAAAAATTATTATTATTATAATTTAAAAGCTTAAGTGACCCACTACCATATCTCCAGGGTTTCCCACAAAGCATGCTAAGTAAGCTAAACAGCATGAGCTTCATGAGCTGACAAGCAGTTATAATAAAGTTTCATTTGGAGTGACTTTAACAATTCATAAAAAATTCAAAATTTGATCGGAGTCAGCTCAAATTTTCTACACAACATAAGAACATGCCTATATGCATCAGAAAAATTTATAAAAATTAAGAATTCTCTCTTTGTGATTTTTGTCAAAATACCCTGTACTATATATAGTACAGGGTATCTGTGTCTGGCCTAATTTTTGAGCAGCTGACAAAAACTGCATGAGCACCATTTCAAAACCCTGTGGGAAGCCCTGCATGTCCCAAAGAAATGAGGATTACATGAAAACAGAATGAGGTTATTGAATATCAGTTAGAACCAATGCTGCTTATAACAGGTAGGCAAGGTGAGATGCTACAGTAATAATAATTACTATTAAGAGAGCTAAGTAAAGGGGAAGATTTGTGAAGCTATGGTCTATATGTACACTAAAGCAAAGAGGATAATTGGATGATGTCAAGTGATGTCATAATGTGGAAGTGGTGATTGGAGAGTATGCCAACACACAAATAGAATAATGAAATGATGTCAAATTAAATCACAAACTACACACTAAGAAGCATGTGGATATGATGTCAACTAAGAATTACCATTAAACCATACATGTACATGTACATGCACATGTAACACAATACATGTACACGTACACGTACATGCACATCACATGTACAGTATTCAGCATAAGTGGAAGAGTTCAATTAGGCTGTATTGTTTTCAAAGGTTTCCTAATCTCATTATGGTGCGGACTAACTTGGCGAAAGTTCCTCCTGTCCATTGCCATTCGTTGATTCCAGAAATGTTTGAAATAATGAGGTAGGACTTCCTCCCTGATGTAATGGATCTCAACACCATCAGTAGTACACACCTGCTTCACTACCTGAAAACATGAGGGGAAAGGAACGAGAAGAAGAAAAGAGAAAAGAAAGAAAGGAAGAGAATATGACATAATGTTACTATTACATGTAATTAATACTAGATGAACAATTGTACATATACCTACGGTAGGTAGTCCAGTACAGTCAAACCTGTCTATTCCGGACACCTTGGGACCCAATAAAATTGTCCTTATTAAAGAGGTGTCCTTATTTCAGAGGTTCATTAATACACATTTATATTGTATTGGGACTGATGCTACCTGTCCTGATTATAGAGGTGTCCTTATTTTAGAGTGTCCACAATAGCAGGTTTGACTGTATATGCAAATGAGATTTGTACAAGTTGAAATGCAAGTAAGCAAGCAAGCATTACATGAATCTTAATACAATATGTATTATATTTATATTATATATATGTTGTGATGCACCATGTGTGTACATGTACAATACCACACACACACACATATACACACAGAGTGTGAGAATGAGTGGAGCCACTAACACACAATAAAGATAGTGTGTGTGTCTATACTGTGACATATTAAACAGCTACATAGTGTTAGCTAGTGCATGCATGGGGAATGGTCTTAGTGAGTCCATGAGTTGTGAAACATGATACAGAGAAGAGGAATGCAGCTGGGAAGTTGGTGGCTGTCTGGCAACCCCCACAACTTAGACACAAAGGACACAATACACTCGCTAGCTAATACTGAGAGGAATGCAGTGAGGGATAATAGTGAGGACCATACTACTGTAGCATAGAGTGCAGCTCAATGTATGAGACAGCATGCACTGGAGGGAGCTACTATATGACAGTAGTAGAAGAAATTAAATATTTCAAGTGTACCAGTGACCTTCTTTTGATGTATAAGCATCTCAATTTACCATCTTTCACAACATAATACATGTACTGTAGTAGGTGTATACGTGTAACATATCTTTACAGTGAGAGGAGATTGTGTTTAACAATGTAACAATAAATCAAAGTGAACTGAGGTGGCATTTATTGTATGAGATTTATATAGTTACATCAATTGACAATACCATGAGTATAAGTGTGTGAACATGAACAGAGTTGGTGAGTGTTAGTACAAGACTATACTCACTAATGATTGATTTTTCAACATCAATTAACGTGTAGCCATTACTCCATTAGAGGCTTTCTCTCCCCCTCTAAAGAGCCTCTCCTACACAACCTCTCTCCCACTCATTCTCACTACAGCCAGTTTTCATTGTAAAGATTAGTAATTTACTATTGTTTCAAACTTACATAAGTACATGTAATTGTAGTCTATTTTCCCATCTCTCTGTCTCTCTCTCTGTCTCTCTCTCTCTCCCCCTGCTCACTTTTAACACAATCTTCTTCATTTCCTCATCAGGACTCTGGAACTGTCTGATCAGTATAACCATCACCTCCTGTGTGTACCTAAAGGCCATTTCAGAGTCCATCAATGGGATAAGATAACCAATGGCCTTTAAGAAAGCAGCAAGACCCTGGAGGAGTATAATTCAATTCATTAAATGCATGTAGATTTAAATAAATACACATTTTGATTATTTGATATACATAATTTAAATAAATAAATGTACAAATTTTCAATGCACTATGTCAATGCACTTTGTACAAAAATGTATAATAATGAGGAGAATTCAACATGAATAGAATAACATGCAAGAAGAACACATGCAGTGCCTCTACCTTTCCTTGATGATTCCATATGCCAGTCCACAGTGGTACTAGAACAGAGTCAAAAGACTCAATACCGTAAGGAGTGGCAGCCTCAGCCAGTGCAGCAATGCCAAGAGCAGTAATGGTCCTCACTTTCTGCTGTTCGTCCTTCAGTCCATTCTCTATTATCTCAACCAGTGAGCGAAGGTGAGGAAGGACAGCACACCCCATTAGTATAGCAATCTGCTGGATGATCTTGATACCGGTGTGCCTGGCCTGCCAGGATTTCTTACTCCGACAGACGGCTTTGAGGAAAGGAAGGAGAGAGGGTATACCTAGGGCAGAAGCTACTACAGCAAATGCTCTGGAGAGAGAGAGAGAGAGTGTGTGTATGTGTGTGTGTGAGAGAGAGAGAGAAGATTCATGTAAAGGAATTTGTATTGATATAATACGTTTAAGTACAATATAAAAAAGGAGAATAAATCGCTAAAAATATCTACATGCATATTAATCATTTTTTAATTGTACATGAAGGAAGGAGGAAATACAATTAAATAATGGATCAAGTTACTCATCAAAATTAAAGAGTAATAATATTCAACCTATTATGTACCATTTGCTTGTAAATAAATTCAATAATACAGGGAAGCATACAGGTACTACTATACTACAATGCATTAAGTTACCACACAATGTAGAGTAAAAGATTAACGTACAATGGAATTACAATGGAATGATGACACGTGAAGATTAGGAGAATCACAATAAATGAGCATATATGGTGCCAATACTAGGAAGCCTCAAGCTACCTGTTTAATATGTATCACACAAGGAGCTACAGGCATTACTACTGCTATTCTTAGTAAAGCCACAAATGGGTCCCTGTAGAGTCATGCACCCCAACTGCAACAACAACGATTGTTTACAAATGCAATACATTACAGAGATAAGGTTAACGTCATTAGCGAAGGCTTGAGGTTAGGGATGCACGCCAAAACTGACCAA